TAACCCTGAAAGACCCCCCCCCCAAAAAAAAAAGGAAATCAGAAAAGGAATAAACCACCCCCTTCAATCCGATCGAAATTTCATTCCGATCGAGCTCAATCCGATTACAAACGGATTTGGTTGCATGTAAACGTAGCCATTGTGTTGAATTCACATAAACCAGCTTATTTTCATGTAGCAGCTTCATGATCCAAGACTTTGCAAAGATATGAACATGAAGTGATTCAATCACTGTAGTCCATTGTGTCTTGACTGAAGTTTTAATAAGAGACACACCGTTGAGTTCTCAAGTCCGCGCCGTTGCCGTAAGATCTTCAGTCTCTCGTAGTAGGCGGCAGCGTTCAGATCTTCTCCATTACTGCTGATGGGCACGGCACTGGAGCTCGGCAAATACGAGTCTGTGCTGTGCTGAGGGATTACTGGAACACAACAGAAGCCTTAGTATGCTAAAACAAAAATCAAGACAACAAAAAGATGTTTCATGAAAGTTGGTGCAACTCACCTGTGGAGGTCTGAATTCGGCCTTTTCCTTCACGCTCTGACTCAATCATGCGAAGTCCTCGCTCCACGTAACTCTGGAAAAACTGGGACGTGTTCCTCAAGAAGGGCTCGAGGTCTGCGTCAGAGTACTTCTGCTTGTATTCATACAGCTCCGTCAGACCCTGAGAAACAACACACTCTGAAGTAGTACTGAACCGAGAACCACAAATAATTCTGGTAATTTCGCAAAAATTGGAAGTCTTCATAAACTGTTGTTACCTCTTTAGTGTTCTCCTTGGAGCCAATCTTTTTGAAGATCTCAGAAAGAATGTCGCTCACTTTGGCCTTAATCACTTTGTCATCCTATCCAAATCAAAATGCAGTTTAAGAAACCAGGGGTGCATTTCCCAAAATCATCATTAGCTAACTATGGTTAGTTCCATTGAACTCTATTGGTTACGACGGAACATGCAACCATAGTTTTTTTGGGAAACGCACCCCAGATCAGCCACTACAATTTTTCAAAGTATCAAGATGAAGGTTTCCGTTGAGACCCAGCAGAACATACCGATCTGAGGGCGCCCTTCTCTGTGCTCTTGTCAGACTTGAGTCCGGAGAGGTTTGCCGAATGCTTGACCACCCGTCTCAGATGCGCCTCCAGTTCCGACTCGTTGCGGTTCTCAATCATGGACATGTGATCTAATATCTATGAGAGGGACATTCACAGATTTCTTTCATAATGCAAGTTTCATGAAGAACTTTCAGGCTCTATTAAGGTCTCAAATGTGTACCTTGGCGCCGGTGAGCCTGCAGAGCGTGTGCAGCAGCGTCTTCAGCGTCCGGTGGGGAATGTCGCTCTTCAGCTGTTTGAGCTTCTCTTTAGGGAAAACCTTCATGAAGTTGTGCACGTCCAGCAGGATGCGGTCCAGATTAATACTGTTGATGGTCTGTGGCAGGAAACGGATCATTCTCCATAGACACTGCATGGGACAGGAGACAGGTGTTATTTAAATGGGATAAAAAAAATTTTTTTTTTAAAAAGTAAAAAAATTCATACTTCAATAAAAAGTGCCTGATTCATCTTGAATCTGTGTTATGTTGGAACAGTATTAGGAGCAGTTTTTTTATTTTGGTTTATTTTTATCATTTAGTATTCTGTATATTAGGGATGGGCATTATTCCGGTAGGAATTAGTCAACAGGTAGAGATTTTAGACCATCATCTCTATTGAAGATAATCACTGAAATTCTGCTACCCCAAAGTCCCAATGTTGTAATATTACATTTCACTAAAAACATACCAAAATATCAAAAATTTTAACTCATTTATTTCTGCATTAGAGGCCTCCCACAACAAATAAACGCTGAAATAATTTTCAAAGTTTTTTTTTTTTTGGGTCTTTCAGGGTTAAACATCTTTTTTTAAAATTTTTTTTTTTTACTTTACGTTTGAAATTATGTGCTTGTCATCTAGTTTTTTAGCTTTCAGTTTTGTAATTTTAGTACTTCAGCTTCAACAAATTAAAAATGTTGGCAACTAATTAATTTTTTTCCCCCCCTCTAATATTAATATTTTATTTTAATTATTTTTAGTGATTTTTAATAGTTTGAGTTTACAATAAAACTGACTTGGACACAGAAATAATTAGCTCTGCCATTAAAAGGGGAAGAATATGGAGATATTCTTCCACAAAAAGTTTGAAAACAAGACAATCAGCTAATAAAATGGTATATGAATTGTTTAACTTGTCCGCCTGCCTCAGGACCTCATCAATCTGCAGAAAAAAAAAAAACACAGGGAAAGGTCTTATTGAAAAAGAAATGAATTATTTCTTTCCAGCAATAATTTCCACTATTTAAAAATATAAATAAAAAGTTGCTTGAAACATTGAGCCTGGCTATGACATGAAGATGAAGATGTAACAATCCAAATAGTGGAAGTATGACACCCACCTGTGCCAAGGCTTGGATACTGGTGTTAATGTCCCCACTGGCCACCTGAGAGATGACGAAGTTGATGGTGGAGGCAGTGCTATTGTGAATGTCATCAAAATGAGGAGAGACCGAATTCATCCTGAAAACACACACACGAAACACTTTAGCATTTCAGAAGCCAAAATATTTTGTCTTGTAATACAGGGGTTCCCAAACTTTTCCATTCCATGACCCACCTAGACAAGTATAATCTATTTCACGACCCACCAAAATATTTGAGATAAAACTGACATTACTTTAAGCCTAATCTTAATTAAAAGTTTAATATGACAGAAATTAAGTATTTAAGAAAATTAACCATTTTATTTTAGAGTACAACTGTAAAATTTCACTACTAATATTTAAGTTTTAATTTCTTTGTTTACAGATGTTAAAATATGAAACGTCCATAAATACGTGAAACAGGCTCACTCCAGTGCGAGTGTTGTTACTCATCGCGGGGTTCAGCGCAGAAAATGCATTTATGGTCTTTCAGTGTGTAGGGGAGAGCGGAGCACAACTCAACACTTTTTTAGCAAAGCATAAGCATCTAAAACAGTTTTGAGATTAAAATAATTGTGAAAAAGTTAAAAAATAATAAACAGATGCGTTTCATTTTAAATAAACACTAAAAACCGAGATGACAAATTTACTTCAGTCAGAAATTTACTTTTGCAATGGTTAAATAAATGTTCAGCAATATCTTCAAAAGATTTTTGAACTTTGGCACATTTTTTTTCTATATAGAGATGATATGTCAAGGAAATAGTGAAATTTTGTTATGTGGAAATGTTTAAATCTTGTAGTTACAATTAACCCTGCGTTTGTGCCCTGCTCACCCCGTACATGAGAAATGCTTTTTTACAGACCGTTTCCTGAACGAAAACAGTGCAGAGTTCAAAAAGACGATAGAAATGAATGAACATAGCCTACCTGAAACCGTTTTCGTAACATTTGAATTTTCCGCTGTATGCAATCTCATACAGAATACAGCGCATTGAAGTGAGCGAGTTTTTTCTCATTAATACGGACCGATTGAGCCTTTTAATAATGCCATTGCTCTGAGACCCTCACTATTATTACAACTCATGCGCGCCTGAGCTTCAAAACACGCAACTCATGTTTTAAATCGCGGACTTAATTGCAATTCAAAAATCGCACTAAGGATATTGAAATTCGTAATTAATGTTGGTAGGCTATATCGTGCAGCCCTAGACTGAACTGTGTGAGAGTGTGTCATTGAAACGCAAATTTAGCTGCAGCCAAGTGACTTTGTGCGACCCACAGTTTGAAAACCCCTGATGTAATACATTTAACAGAAACAAAACCTCAACAGTGCTAAACTCATACTTGCGCTCAGGAATCATGACCGGCTCCAGAACTTCCTCCAGTTTGTGCTGTACCAGGTCAGGGATATCGCTGGCACACGTGTGGTTGTTCTCGAACACATCCAGATCCAGCTGAAACTCCTTCGGGATGGACGGAGCCGGCTGCTCCAAGTGAGCGTGCTGCGCCCGAGCTTGACTGTTGAAAATTGAGGAAGAGGTCACTTCTGTTGCATTTTTATACTATATAATTCCCACAACATGAATAAAAGTCTCCAAAATTTTTATTCAGTATTCAGTGAAAGCATCAAAGCGTTAATCTACTTATGATTTTCCTTGCAATACAAAATTTGCAACAATGAATATTACCATTTGAAATGTGCTTTTAATTTGTCTTCAAGTAGGGGAGAAAAGAAACATCGGTTAAAAAAAATTCATTTGATCATTTGATTATTTTGGGAAGTTCAAACGGTTTCAAATTAAACTATTTAAAACTGATTTCATCATTAATTTGTGCCCTCACTCAAATGTTTGCTAAATTGCATAGCTTTTATCAAAAAATATTGCAGTATATAAGTATATAAACAATCCTGTTCAGAAATTTGGGGTCAATAAGATTTTTTAATTGATCCTTAATTTTAATGCATCCTTACTGAATAAAGTCACAGCATTTATTTTAAATGGGAAACATTGTAACAAATTTTTAGTTTTTTTTTAACTTTCTATTCAAAGAATCCTGAAAAAAAGGCTGCTAAAAATTCAGTTTTGCAATCACAAGAATATTTTTTAAATGTTTATTACCATTTAAAAACAGTTATTTTAAATTGTAATAGTATTTCAAAATACTGCCGTTTTCACTGTATTTTTGATCAAAGCTTTGGTGCATTTATGGTGCAAAAGGGAAAAAAATAAAAATAAAAAACTAATTTACCCCAAACTTTTGAATTGTAGTATGTATACATATTTCATAAGCATCTTGGTGCATAATTCAAATTTCTGCATGTTAATTTTATCAAACCGTGGGAACATGCTTTACTTTTAAACATTTATACTGTTATATACTCCTTACATTTAAAAAAATAAAAAATAAATAAATAAAAATCACAGAGCGAATACATAGGGATATCAAATATGAGGCTGAAAAATATTTGGCTATATCAGTCATCCATATGATCTAATAATCTCCCTAATATTTCAGTCCAGTTTTTTGTGATCTCTAGCCCTCCAGGATGTCAGGTGCCTTGTGAGCAGTGGCTACAGCTGTATGGGAGTACTTACATCCTGTAAGTGCGATACATTATTCTGTCCATGGAGGGCAGCGAAGAAAAGAAAGGAATAGTAAGAGGAGAAGAGAAAGACTTGGGATTAAGAAACAACATGCAATGACACAAGAGGATAGAATGAGACAGAATGAGACTGTGTGCGTATAAGAAAGCATTATACATGGACCAAGAACTCCCATTTCCTATATAATATCCCTTGGATTTTAAATGATCATTTAAGAGTGCATAAGCAGTACATGCCTGAGCTTGTTGGGCACTTCCTCTTGAGTAGGCTTGCGCAGGAAAGTTGCATTGGGATTGGTGGGATGCTCTCTCTGAGGTCGCTCCTGTTTGGCTGATGCTGCAGGTGTCTTCTTGGCTGAACGTTTGATTCTCTCCTCCAGCATGCTCATTTCTTTCTCAGACAGCTTGACAATAATAAAATGTTCAAAGTTGAGTATAGCATGACATCACATCTAACATGACATTTTAGAAATGAAAGGGTAATTAGTGTCTTACATTGCCAATGAGTTTAAAGACTTGGTCTCCACAGGCGTTGTAGGCAGCCAAGACTGTATTGAGCGAAGCGTTGCGGACCGTGGTGTCACGGTCTCCGATGTGAATGGCGATTTCTTTAAGAGCCTTGGCTGGAGTTGGCTGGCACACATTCATACCAAAGTTCTCAATCAGGCAGCCGAGCTCCTCAAGACATTCTAAAGACAGAAAAAGTCACGATAAGCACACTTTCCACTGTAAAAAAGACAAAAGAAAAGTTTTTGTGTTTTGAGAAACCAAATCCATGTGCATTTACCAGATCTCTGCTTGGAGTTCTTGGATTTGGTCCCTTCCATTAGGAAAGGGAAGACTTTACTGGCCGCGTAGACTTTACACAGCATTGTCAGAATAGCTCTGACATCTTTACGCACCACATCCTTTGACTCGCCAACCTGAGCGAGGAAAAGAAACCAAAAAGCTCCATGTTAGGTGGTGTTTCAACAAATTAGATGCATGTTATTTAGTTATTGTTTGGATTGATAAAGACCCACCTTGAGGATCAGGTAGGGGATGAAAGATGAGGCCTCATAGTCATTAAGCTGGTAGTTCTTCCTGCTCAGCATGGTGAAGAGCAGCTTGAGGAACTCCAGGGCTTTCATCAGCACACTGGTGTTTGTGTCAAAGAATCGCAAAGTGAACCACTTTAATATCAGATCTAGACAGCCAATCACAGCCTCACACTCGGTCTCCATGCGCTGGAAAATACAGTTAAAGCATAAGGTATAAGTCTAGTACAGATTTATATGATTTGACTCACCAACTACTAGAGGACTCACCTCGATCATGGCTCCAATAGCTTTTACATGGCGTTGAAAGTCAAAGTGGAAAAGTTCGTCTTGCAGCCACTTGGCCAGACATGTGGACATTTGAGTCTTCAGCTGCTCCACGTACTCGTCACGAGGAGTGTTGAAGTTCCACTTGAGAATCTGAAGAAGAGTTAAACATACATGAGAAAAATTGTGATACTCAACAGCGCTGACAAATGCTCATGAGAACAGTTCAAAAGCTGCTCACTTTCAATGTCTTCTCTTCCTTGATCCTCTGCTCTTTGCCGTTGGGAACGAGGATGAAGATGGGGCCAGATTTGTCCTCCTCATCCTTTGCACCAGCCTTAACTGGAGGTTTCTTACCCACAACACCCTAAAGGGTCAGGAAAACAATTGTTACGCTGAATCAAAGTCTCAAGTTGTTACTTCATGTCGACAAGATCTTTGATAGTAATGCCTCAGTTTGGTAAACAGGTTTAAAATTACGAATCCTTTAGCTCATGAATATCAATTTGCTCATTTGGGGATGTAACTCTTACAATATTAACACACTCAATTTAATCAGGAGCAAATGCTAATTTTAATTACATATTAATTATATAAACTTACAAATATCCATTACACTGCAAAAAAAGCTTGTGTTTTTCACTAAAAATAATAGGAAGCCCTTAAAGGGATAGTTCACCCAAAAATGAAAATTCTGTCATTAATTTCTTACCCTAATATCATTCCAAACCTGTAAGACCTTCGTTAATCGTCGGAGCACAAATGAAGATATTTTTGATGAAGTCAGAGCTTTCTGACCCTCCATAGACAGCAACGCAACTGAAATGTCCCAAGACCTTACCCACAGTAAGGACATCGGTAAAACATTCCATGTGACATCAGTGGCTATGAGAATACTGTGCACAAAAACAACAAAAATAATGACTTTATTCAAGAATTCTTCTCCTCCAAATCACGTATTCTGCCAGTATAGAGATGTTCTACATCAGCAGCACCATGCGCATGTGTCATTTACTTGCAGAGGTACTCTTGATAATGATGGAAGTCGAGATTTGGAGAAGAACTGTTGAATAAAGTTATTTTTGTTTTCTTTGGGCATAAAAAGTATTCTCGTAGCCACTGATGTCACATGGACTGTTTTACCAAGGTCCTTACTACGTTTCTTGACCTGGGAACATTTCAGTTGCGTTGCTGTCTATGCAGGGTCAGAGAGCTCTTGGATTTAATCAAAAATATCTTCATGTGTTCTGAAGGTGAACGAAGGTCTTACGGGTTTGGAACAGCATTAGGGCGAGTAGCGAAAATTCTCATTTTTGGGTGAACTATCCTTTGTTGGCAAGAGGTTTAAAACTGCTTCTCATTACAATAATTGTAAGAATTTCCACTGACTACCAAAATAGGATTGGACCATTACAGCGGAATAAGAAAGATGGAATAACAAAGGTTTTAAATCAGTTTGAATTACATGCAGTGCTTCCACACCAAACCGTGCCACCTTATGCCAGCTCCACTGGTGCTCTGAGATTCTAATATACCTGTTCACTGCTAGGAGTCCCTCTTGAGAGCCTGTTTTGTTTAGCATTATCTTTTTCTCCCTTCACTTTGAGCTCCATGCTCCCTCTCTAGTGCACAAAATGACACTTTAGAGAGCAACATTTATTGAAAACAGAATGCAGAACCCAATTCATCCTCAGACTCTTTTTACTTGTATAAAGAAATAGGCCAAAACCTAAATTCACATTTAGTAGAGGCTTCTTGTTTTGTTTTGTTTTTTTTAAACGCAAAAGAACAGTCACTGTCTTCCTATGAACAGTCCCTTGTGTTTTACAGACCTGATGTTTCAGATCACAGTTTGGGAAAAGTTTTTAAATCTTTCATGAGCAGCAACTCCCTACCTAAAGCAGGCAAAGCAGAAACACTGAAATGTGCCACACCTTTTTAGCTGCAGGACCTGCTGGTTTAGCTTTCTTAGTGTCTGGTTTGGGTTCAGGTTCACTGAAATCTTCACTGGGACTTTGGTTCCTGGCTGGAGCTGTAAAATAAAAAGACGTTCAAGTTGAGTCCAGCATCTTTAATTTTCATTTTGCGCAAACCAATAAATAAATGGATAAGAATATATCTCCTTTTATATTTTTAAAAAGACTCATAATTACCCCCAAAAAAAGGGACAGGAAAAAAAGCAAAAAAAGGGTGATCTTGTGGTGTGCATATGTTTGTATTATCAAATATGCAAATATACACTTGTTCAATAAACCAGCCAGGAAGTGGTGGTCATGTTAGTTGTGGTTAAAGGGAAAGTGCACGAACCTGAGGCTGGTTTGGCAGCAGGGGCGCTGGAGGCGGGAGGTTTGGAAACTGCAGCTTTGGCAGGAGCTGCAGGCTTGGCTGGCATCACGGCCCTGGCCTTCTCCAGCATGCCAACCACCTGGTCCTTTGAGGCCGGCTGCAGAAAGACAAGTGTGAGACTGACGTTATGGTCTATAGTCAAAAGTTGATCCATGTGTTTTGGTCTTATTAACCATCTAAAATAACATTGAATGAAATCACACTTTTATTCAGGATACATTAAAGTGATCAAAAAGTGACAGTAAAGACATTTGTAGTGTTACAAAAGACATCAAATAAGTGCTTTTTTGACATTTATATTTAACTGATTTCACAAACATATTAAGCAGTACAACCAAGCAGCAAATCAGAATATTAGAATGATCCCTGATGGATCATGTGACACTGACAAGTGGAGTAAGGGCTGCTGAAAGTTCATTACTTCTCCCACTTGCCTTTAGTTTGCCGGTAGCCTTGCTCATCTTCTCATAGCCCAGGTGCATCATGAAGGTGGGAAGCGCATCCTGAGCTTTCTTGCGCACATCGCCGCTGCGGTCCTCCAGGCAGGCGTACAGGTGAGGCACGCACAGCATGAGGTCTGCGGGCACCGTATGCAGTGTGGGCAGCTTCTCAGCAAGCCAGCCCAACATCTACAGAATTTTAACAGCATTTTAGCTTGTGATCACTGAACATGCAAGGTTGTTAAAAGTTGTGTGTTTTAGCCATGTCTTTTATACATGAGCTCCATATTCTTTTATTATTAACTTTATTTAAAAAAAACTTTGACTAAACCACAAGTGCCATACTTCCTGTCTGAGGAAGGGGTTTTCCTTCTTGAGCTCTTCTGATAGGTCCTCTCCTTCAAGCCACTCCTTCATTCCAGTCTGCTCCACCCATGCATTCAGTGTTGACCAGGCAGCAGCACGGACGTTGGGCTGAAAAGTCAAATTTCAAGCAAATTAGAAACAATTCACTCTCTCTAGCTGAAGGTTATCTGAACAGCCAACAGCCAGACAAGCAACACAAGAAGTGTAAGAACTCCCAATCAGCGTTTCATACCTTGCTGTCACCAAGAACAGTAATTACTGGAATTCCCAGGTTCTTGACATGCTGCTTCAGAGAGGGACCCATGGCAGTGGCTATCTGCTGCAGAATATTGAGAGCCTGCTGGACCTACAAACACATTTTATGCAATTACAACCATGCCATTGAATGCTACAACTGAAATGCCTGGATGGCAATGGGGAGCATCAAAAACACACTAAACTAGATTCATATGAATTACCAGTAGTTTGTTGGAATCGTTGAGACGACCCTTCAGCGCCATCGGCAGCTCGCCGATGTTGGCCTGGATGAATTTGGCCTCAGAAATGACTGCTGCCACCTCATCAAGCCCCTCCTTCCTTATCTTCCAGTTCTTGTCGCTAATCTTGGACACCATGTCCGATGTGATTTTATCACTGTGAACGAGAAACAGTCACTTAATCTCAACTGTTGTTTGCACTGGGATCCAAAAACTTGAATGTATCATTTGAAAATAACTTTTTCTGGAGTATCGTTACGCTCTCACAGACCTGATATTAGTTCTGGGCAGCAAGTCCATGATGTCTCCGGCTCCACCGTCCACCTCCTCTTCTTCAGCAGCGTCTCCCTCCTCTTCTGCTCCTGCTTTTTTGGTGCCACGGATGGGGGCGGGAGGAGACTGACCCTGCATCTAGTAAAGAAAAAAAGAGACAAGGTGAAAACTGATTTAACAGGGGGAAAGACAAATACATTAGCACCAGTGGTCTATTTAAGTCAGCATGATGTAGTTCAATAGGTGATCTTAAATTGAACGACAAATTTTGTTTAACTTCTTTGCACTTTCATCTCTTTTATTTCTTGTTTTTTTCTTTTATTTACTTGTTTTACTATCGTTTTGTTTCTAATTCTTTTATTTTATTATTCTCTTATTTACTGATTTATTTACTTGCTTTTGTTTTCTTTTACTTGCAGTTTATTTCATTTATGTTCTTGGTTATTTAACTCACAATCAATAAATCAAAGAAAATCAGTCAACAAATGCCTTTTGAAATCGGTTTCAAATACATCAGTAGTGTGAAATTAAAATTGTGCCCTAGCAAACAACCTGCTTTGATAAACAAGGTGTAACTAATGGACAAAACATGGTCATTACAGACAATGAAGCAGTAAAAAAAAAAAA